ACTACATTAAACCACCACAATACAACTTGCCTAATAATTAAGCACACAGTGGCTAAGGTAAAGGCAGGGGTGGGATTCTACCAGTTCGCACCTATTCGCTAGAACCGGTTGTTAACATTCTGAGCAGTTCGGAGAACCGGTTGAAGAAGAAATTACTGCCCTAAATCTGTTAGAAGAAATTACTGCCCTAATCCTGTAAGGAAGGCAGGAAGGAAACATTCTGGTGTTGCTTACAGAAACTGCCTCTCCATTAACTCTTATTACATTCTTGGCAGGACTAGACTACCTGTCTCAGGAACATCTCTGGAGTTTTTCCCCCCTCCTTTGTTGGTACTTTGCTTGTGTGGAGTGACCAAAGTTATAATGGCACTGAAAAAAGTGATTTATGACCATTTTTCACACTTATGACTGTTGCATCATCCCCACAGTCATGAGAGGCCAGGCAAGGAGATGCATGCCTCGATGTGAGTGATAGAGTTGGCCACGCCCAACCAATAACATGACCACCAAGCCACGTCCACCAACTAAGCCACGCCCACAGAACTGGTTGTTAAAAAATTTGAGTCCCACCCCTGGGTAAAGGTAAAGGTTCCCCTTGTACATACGTGCTAGTCATTTCTTTAATGGAACTCAATATGATTTATTTATTTATTAGATTTGTATTGTCGCCTATTCGCCATGGCAACTCAAGGCGGCTTACAACATATAAAACTACAATTTAAAAACAATAAAACTCATAAAATCAAATAAATTAATATAGTAAAATTTTACACCCCACCTCCCCCCACGACAGATTACATGAGCCATTTAATGGACTCCATCCTGCTCTGGGCATGTCAGGCCCGCTGGCAGAACCAGGTCTTCAACGCCTTCCGGAAGAGAATCAGAGTGGGGACCAGTCTAATCTCTGGGGGAATGATGTTCCAGAGGGAGGGAGCCACCACAGAGAAGGCACTTCTTCTAGGTCCCACCAGGTGTATCTCCCTCAAGGAAGGGACCCGCAATATTCCCTGCCTCCCCATTCTGATGGGTCAGATAGATGTGACCAGCAAGAGACAGTCCCTCAAATAGCTTGGGCCATGAAGGGCTTTAAAGGTGACAACCAGCACCTTGAATTGCACCCGGAAGCAAATCGGCAGCCAATGCAGCTCCCGCAGGAGAGGTAATACATGTACACCCTGGGGTCTGCACAAAACCATGCGGGCATCTGCATTTTGCACCAACTGGAGCCTCCAGATGCTCTTCAAAGGCAGCCCCATGTACAGCACTACAATAATCAAGACGGGAAGTGACTAAGGCATAATCCTCATGTAAACAGTGAAATTATTAATACAAATACACACATATATACTGTATGATGTACCCATTTGAAGAACTATAGAATAAAAACATATTCACCGACATGCAGTTGTAGACAATTAGGAATCTTAAAAAATTATTGTACTGCTATTGAAGGACATAGAGGAATTTATGGTCAAATTAAGCTGAAATTACTCCTTTTAGCATTAAACATTCAGTAACACTGTACCAAAGGAAGCATTTCATTATATTACCACTCTCTTCTGAAATTGCCTACTCCCCTAACCCATACAACTTTTTTCACACCTTCATGACCTTTTTAAAGCAGATGAAAGCACAGTTCTTCTGGAGGGCCTTGAGAATTAACTGTACCAAAAACCACCATTTTCTACAATGTTAACACTATAAGTAATTGAACTAAGGATTGAACTGAATCTATTTTAATTAATTTTTACATAATAAAAAGTTCTGTAAGACACTTTCAGTCTGTCAGATGGGAGACACAATTTAAAAATAAATAAAATAAATCAGAAAGTTAAACATTGTGATTTATTTCAGTTATATAATTAGGACTTTTTGTGTACATGAATTTGTGTGCCTTTAAGTCAGTCTTCAGCAACCGCACGGCCAAATCAAAATAATTTTCTAGACAAATCTTCTAGGCAAATTTTCTAGGCGAAGTGATGTACCATTGTCCTAGGGCTAAAAAAAAGTGACTGGCCCACAAACATTCAGCTAGCTTTGTGCCTAAAGACTAAAATCCAGGTCCCCCATCTCCTAATTCAGTGTCTTACCCACTAGCTGTCATAATAAACAGAAGCACTGTTTAATTAAGAAACTAAAAGATGTTAAAATTGCAATGATGCAAAAATGCAAACACAAATATTTGATTTTTTAAAATCATAATTGCAAGTATTAGAAATATTATGAGAGAATTGTTACAATTATATCTAATTCTCTATAAAAGTCCATCCATGCATGAATTCAATTATATTTACCTAACAGTTTACAAAGTTACAGAAAGAATGGCAATGATAAATCACTTCACATTCCACTCTGCCCAAATAAAAATGTGAGCAACATACATTGGAACTTGATGCAGGAGACTTTATGCAATTTGACTTGTTTGTACAGTTTCCTTTTATTGGTTCATAGCCATTTCCCTTTAAAAAAAATATATCCTGTAGATGTCAAGAACCAAAAACAACTAAATCTGAAATTTCCTGTCACAAAACACTTGACAAATCTAAGAATGTGTAATACTTAAATAAGATAATTAAATACAAGGTTAAATTTTACTCTATGACGTAAAAAATGCTTACTTGAAATTGTTAAGCATTCAGCATTTCTTCTTCCATATTGGATTTGGATCAACACTATTGTATCTGCCAAAGTCAACAACTTTCTCTAAATAAAGTCCTTGGAATTTAAATTTCTGATATCTGTGATATTCTACAATGATGTTGTTTAAAATGACCATTTATTAGGAATGTTAGTAATGTTACAAATTATAATTGCAAAGGTAAAAATGAGTACATATGATAAAAATCAGCGTAGAATATAAATAAAACCAGTAATAAAGAACAAATAGAGCTGTTAAATCAAACTTTGGCTCAAACCCTAAGCAACAATGTTTTCCCAGACATGAAGACTGAAAAGTCAAAATAAAGCTGATATAGAAAGTCTACACACCCCTATGAAAATGCATTTCTGAGATGTACAAAAAATTAGACCGAGAACACTTCAGAATGGTTTCCATCTTTAATGATCCCCAGGGATGCCAGGCCCTGCAAGTGCGCCTCCTATGCACGTGCCTAGGGGGAAGGCCGGGGAAGAGCAGGGAGGGCCTCTCACTGGCTCCAAGCCGGCCTCGTAGATCTAAGGCTGACCACATTCTGGCCCAGATGGCTGCCACCAGGTTGTAGATCAGCACCCATTTGGCCTGGGCAGGGCCAAGGCACTGCAGGCCGGTCCTTCATTGTTTTCAGGGTGGCTCTGCAGGCCAGATCTAACCACATCGCAGGCCACATTGAGCCACGGGCCTTGAGTTTGACACCCCTGCTCTAGGAATTAAAGGAATATGCTAATGGTATACCAAATCTTTATATCCCAATTGAGTCTATACATCTTAATGAATATATGTCTTTGAGAAATTTGGAAAAATGGGTAAAGTGCAAGATATCCAAGATGCATTTACTTTAATTCCTGCACTAAGCAGAAAGTTGGATTTGCTGATAGCATGTGACCACTTCCAAGTCCATTTTTTAAAGCTGTTAGAATCAGTGATAAAACTGTGTGTTGATCACAACATATGAATAAATGTTTTCCCATCTCCTTTTCAGACAAATTATTCAAGTAGTCCGCAACTTACAACCATAATTGAGCCCAAAATTTCTGTTGCTAAGTGAGATATTTGTGAAGTGAGGTTTGCCCCATTTTACCTTTCTTGCCAAAGTTAAATGAATCACTGCAGTTGTTAAATTAATAACCCAGTTGTTAAGTGAATCTGGTTTCCCCATTGACTTTGCTTGTCAGGTGATCACATGAACCCGGGGCACTGCAATCATCATAAATGTGAATCAGTTGTCAAGCATCCAATGTAAATTATGTAACCATGGCAATGATGCAACAGTCTTAAGTATGAAAAATAGTCATGAGTCCCTTTTTTCAGCACCTTTGTAACTTTTAACTGTCACCAAACTGTTATAAGTCAAGGACTACCTGTATAACAAATATAGACTCTATACATTTATGCTACTTAATTCAGAATATATAAATTATATATTACCAATTATTTTGATAGTATTATTCCAGTTATCTTTTCATGCTAAATGAATTAGTTCAAATCCACAATTTCACCCTAATTTCTTAATTTCATATGCTACTGGATAACATAGAAAATTAGTATGCATATAAAAGTTGTGAAATTTAAAGACAACAAGTTTATCAGCCACTTTGCTGGTAATGGTGAATGTGCTGGCCTTACAGACCAGGATATGGTGGGTTCTAGTCCTGCCATACATGTATGAAAGTCTGAGTGATCTTGGACCAGTCACTCTCTCTCTCTAACCAGCGCAACTCACATGGTTTTTTTTTATTGTGGGGAAAATGGGAATAGGGAGGAATTATTATATATGTTTGACACCTTGAGTTTCTTATAAAGGCAGGATTTAAAAAAAACCAAATAAACATACCAGCCATGTACCCTATACAAAATATAAAAATATATTACAAAAGGGGGAAAAAATCTTGAACTGCAAGAAGTATATACAAGGACAACTCACAATGGAGGAAACCAAAGGCAACTCGGACATATGGGTAGAAAAACACACACATTCTCTCACTCGCACCAATTTGATCGTGTTAACACTACTTCCTGTTAATTTCAAGGAGAGAGCTAAACACGCGCACAAGCCTCTGCTGATAAAACTAACAGGAGGCGAGTTGGCCGCCTGCCCCGTCCACCCCATAAAGAGACGACGCAGAAATCTACGGAAATAAGGGGCGTGACGGGGGAAGCGGCGACCGAACCCTCTATAGAGAAGGAAGACACCGTCTAGTCTCGCCTGCCACAGGCGCCCTAGGCGGAGGGAAGGCCCTCCAGCGAACCAAGGAGAGGCGGCCAAAGCGGGGAAGCTCCCATGACCAAAAGAGGAAGGGAAGGGAAAGGACGAAACCGCCCAGCCCTGGTGCTGCCATACCTCGCGAGCGATCAGGTTGAGGGCTTCATCCTCGGCCGTGGGCCTTTCCCGGTTGGGGATCCTCTTACGCCCCGCAATTCCTTGCGGCATTGTCCCCGCGTTCTCCATCGCAGCTGATTTAGTCCTCGGGCGTAAGGGATCAGACACGCCGCCGCGCACGCGCGCAAATGGTATAAGCGGCAGGGGGCGTGGCACAGCCGACGAACCTCCGCAAAAGGCGGTGCAAACCGAAGCGAAAGGTTTGCCTTCCAGGCAGGAAGAGAAGTAGAGTACTGATGTGAAAGAATCCTAGGTTAGCAGTGTCGTCCTTTTAGGGTTGGTTTTTTTTTTTTTTAACCCTTTCCAAATTAAGACCAACGTGCATCCTAAGAATTTCGCACCCATAATTTAGACTCCAGTTAGGTATCTATGAAGAGTCTCCCTGGATGAGGTCATGGTTGTCCCAAAGATGCTTTCCAAAAAGCAACCGGTCTTGTTTTTTTCCATGAAGCACTTGCAATTCTGACTGAATGGTGGGGAATGGTTTACATTCTTTGCAGTTATGTGGTCTTTAGCACTGAAGATCGGTGGTTAACTCTCTCAGAGGTTGAGGCCTAAATAAACTTGATGGTTTATTTGTATCTTCAGGATAACCTGAATCATAGTGCAAATAGGTATGGAACCTTTTAGAACTACTGAAAGGACTGTTGTACCCAGTAAAAAGATGGTCGCCTTCTATTGAAAGGGGGCTGTTCAATTTTAACATAGATGGTCTCTTTCACCCCACCTTCACATCAGTATCCACTCTGGACAAAGAAATTCTAGTTGCCTTTTGAAAAGCACCTTTGGGACTCTAATTAATTGTACCAAGAGGAATTTGGTCAAGGCACAGAAGTGATACCTTTCTTGCACGTCATCTAGCCAACTTTTTGCAGCCTGGATAAGGTTACCTTATATATTTTCATGGTTTTGACCTGAAATAGAGTTAAAGATTTGGGCTTTAAATATGGCCTTCAGCTTTGTTCGGGTTTTTTCCACGTCATAGTAGTGGTGCTTTTAAAGTTGTAGCAACGTTTCAGCAGAATCTCATCTGCCATCATCAGGCTTTTGTATTGTGTTCGTCTGTGAGTTAGACTTTTACAGTGGTTTCAGATTTAAATTTGGGGCAGCCTATTGCTGTGCCAGAATGGTTTTTTCTTCATCCTGATTGGTTGAGAGTCTTGGTCTGTGTTTATTGGTCTTGGAGTTTGCTGTGTTCTGCTTCTAATATCTTCTGTTTTTTTGGCTCTTTTTATATCTTGATTGGTTGGCAACATTGTGTTACTTTATTGGAGGCCTTTAGTGAAGCTTGGCTTCGGGTAAATGGACGGCTATTTGGGGACCACTGGATGAACGGTGGTCCACTGATTTAGAGAAGAATAAGCACCCGCCTGGATGAACACAAAAATGCAGTCAAAAAGCTGGAACACACTTCCTCACTAGTCCAACACATGGAAGCCACAGGTCATAGAATCAACTTCAATGGCACCAAAACCCTGGCCACTATAGAAAATTCCAGCCACAGAATCATCAGAGAAGCCATAGAGATTGAAAAAAGACCAGAAAGCATGAACAGAAGAGATGATTCCACCAGGCTGTCAATCATTTGGAAGCCTGCACTCACAAACAAAAAAATCTCCACACCACAAGCCAGGCAAACACCTGGGCACAAACAGATCCCCCCTGATACCTCCAGCTCAAACACACCCCACCAGGCACCCAGATGAAACCCAGCTTCCTAACTAATGATAGCCGTCCATTTACCCGAAGCCAAGCTGCACTAAAGGCCTCCAATAAAGTAACACAATGTTGCCAACCAATCAAGATACAAAAAGAGCCAAAAAAACAGAAGATATTAGAAGCAGAACACAGCAAACTCCAAGACCAATAAACACAGACCAAGACTCTCAACCAATCAGGATGAAGAAAAAATCATTCTGGCACAGCAATAGGCTGCCCCAAATTTAAATCTGAAACCACTGTAAAAGTCTAACTCACAGATGAACACAATACAAAAGCCTGATGATGGCAGATGAGATTCTGCTGAAACGTTGCTACAACTTTAAAAGCACCACTACTATGACGTGGGAAAATACTTACATGTATGGTATTCAGCTTTGTTTGGGTATTTTCCCACGTCATAGTTGTGCTTTTAAAGTTGTAGCAACGTTTCGGCAGAATCTGATCTGCCATCATCAGGCTTCTGTATTGTGTTCGTCTGTGAATCAGACTTTTACAGTGGTTTCAGTTTTAAATTTGGGGCTAGCCTACTGCTGTGCCAGAATGGTTTTTTCTTCATCCTGATTGGTTGGGAGTCTTGGTCTGTGTTTATTGGTCTTGGAGTTTGCTGTGTTCTGCTTGATTGGTGTTTCTAATATCTTCTGTCTGTTTTGTGGCTTTTTTGTGTGTCTTGATTGGCTGGCAACATTGTGTTCCTGTATTGGAGGCTTTTTAGTGCAGCTTGGCTCCGAGTAAATGGACGGCTATCATTTGTTAGGAAGCTAGGTTTCATCTGGGTGCCTGGTGGGGTGTGTTTGAGCTGGAGGTATCAGGGGGGATCTGTTTGTGCCCAGGTGTTTACCTGGCTAGTGGTGTGGAGATTTTTTTTGTTTGTGAATGCAGGCTTCCAAATAATTGACAGTCTGGTGGAATCATCTCTTCTATTCATGCTTTCAGGTCTTTTTTCAATCTCTATTGCTTCTCTGATAATTCTGTGGCTGGGGTTTTCTATAGTGGCTAGGGTTTTGGTGCCATTGAAGTTGATGCTATGACCTGTGGCTTTCATGTGTTGGACTAGTGAGGAAATGTGTTCCAGCTTTTTTACTGCATTTTTGTGTTCATCCAGGCGGGTACTTATTCTTCTATTGGTCTGTCCAATGTATGTGGCCAGGCATGATGCACAGGGGACTTCATATATGCCTTGGTTTTCCAGGTCAATTTTATCTTTGGGGTTTCTAAGGATGGCTGCTATTTTTCTGTCTGTTTTGAAGGCAGTCTTGATGTGATGCCTGTGTAGTATCTTACTGATTTTGTCTGTAGTACCTCTTATGTAGGGCAGGACAGCTGTTCCATAGGTCTGTTCATCTTCTAGGTCTCCATTATGTCTCAGTGTGTTTTTGTGGATCAAGCCGGTGATTTTGCTTTTGTGGAAGCCATTAGCTGTCAGTACTTTAGTCAGGGTGCATAGTTCAGTCTTTATGTGTGTCTTGTCTGCCAGGCGTTTGGTTCTAGCAATTAGTGTTTTGGCCACGGAGTTTATCTGTGCTGGGTGGTGGTGGCGCTACCTCAACGCCCAATCCCACCACTACCCAGCACAGATAAACTACAAAACAGACAGGACATATTAGAAAGACCAATCAAGCAGAACACAGCAAACTCCAAGACCAATAAACACAGACCAAGACTCCCAACCAATCAGGATGAAGAAAAAAACATTCTGGCACAACAGTAGGATAGCCCCAAATTTAAAACAGAAACGGCTGTGAAAGTCTGAGTCACAGACGAACACTATACAGAAGCCTGATGATGGCAGATGAGATTCTGCTGAAACGTTGCTACAACTTTAAAAGCACAACTATAATGACGTGGGAAAATACCCGAACAAAGCTGAATACCACACACACACACACACACACACACACACACACACACACACATTAACTGGTTTTATATTACTTGCTGTACATTTGTGAAAACATGCAATTCTTTATTGGGAAATGCAATTTCAGCTAGAGAGGATTCAGAGAGAAAAAATAGAGGGAAAGACTTGCAAAATATCATAGAACTGGATGATAATACCTTTTAAAGTATTACCATGTTGTGTAGAAAGTATTAGCACAGGCTAGGCCATGTCCACCCTATCCCATGAAAACCTCAGGCCATCAAAGATGAGTTCACTCTCTCTCAACCTAACGCATCTTACAGGGTTGCTATTGTGGGGAAAATTGGAGGGAGGGGTATTAGGTAGGCCTTGAATTATTTATAAAAATAAAGATGGTGTAAATAAATACATAAAGTGGAAAATAAATAAATACACAAATAAATAAATAGCAGCCACTTTTAGAAACTTAAGTAAAGCTGAATATGAATCTATTAATAATATTAAAAATGTCTTTTAGATTCTTTGACATTTTTCCATACATATCTTCACCATGGTTAGTATTATATAAATAATTATAGAGTTTCATTTTCAGATTGTTTTTCTTTGACATACGTTACCTGGCTAATGTGACATTTTATTTAGGAAAATAAAATTTTATTGTCCTTGTATAGATAAAATAATGGAAGCTTTTTTATGTATATGGCATGTATAATAAATCTGTGGAGCAATTCAGATTCTGTTCCAGAAAAATTCTTTACAATATGTCTGAGTGTAAGCATAGTGCCTATGTGACTGCTTAAAGCACACTTCTTTTCTCAGGCCAGGCAAGGCCTATGTGATCCTCAATAAAGACATAGTCATGTTAAGAAAATGAAGACTGAACCTATGTTCATACTCTTTCATGTTTTGAAGTACTTCTTGGGAACCGAATTCAAAGCATTGTTAATAAATATATGTTAATAAATAATATGTTCAAAGCACATATATACATTATATGTTGGGCAAACAAAGCACAGGTAGTATTCAGCAGGTTCTGACCAGTTCTGGAGAACTGGTAGCAAAAATTTTGAGTAGTTCGGAGAACCAGCAAATTCCACCTCTGACTGGAGATTTTACAGTATCCTTCCCCTGCCATGCCCACCAAGCCACACTCACAGAACCTGTAGTAAAAAAAAGTTGAATCCCACCACTGAAACAAAGTACCAGTATATTTCCATACAGTATGTGTGTTGTACTTTGTTCCCAGAGCCAAATTTGGTATCTTAGCTCCTGTGCCACTATTATTTTAAATCACCTACTCAGTTGACTGAGTATTTTGTTTAAAGGGCACTAATGATTTATTTTTAATTTATAAGTTTTTCAGCCAAGTCCACATTAAGCAATATAAAAAAGCAACAGTTGTTGCTAATACAATAATAAATGCAATAACACAAAAAAATCCTGTCTAGTTCTTACAATCTTTGCCATATTTTATTATTTTTTATTTTGTCTACTGTAATTTTTTGAAATTTTTTTTATTTCTTTTCTTTTTGTAAATTTT